ATAAGGTTTTTTACGTATATATATATATATATATAACATCTAAACTATCAACTTCAAATTTTATTATTTCTGAGAAATACCTAAGCTTCAATCATAGCAGACATCAGTTGATGTTCTCTTGTCAAGTGCAAACCACAGACTGGGAAAATTTAGAAAGCAAACTATTGAGATTGTAACTCACTGACAATTGACTTCAACCTGTCTCTGTAACATTTTGTTTTATGTGATGTGCTTCTTCCAAAACACAATGCTGACTCTTACACCTACTGTTAATTGGACACAAATTCAAACAATGTTTCATTTGTATGATTTGTTATAATTTGGGAAAAAGTCTGTTGTGTCATCAAATGTTTTTTTTTAAATTACCTTAGTTTGCATGTCACACAAAGCAATCTGTCCTGACAGTCTGTCCCAGCAATGTGTCTCTAAGACTGATCCTCAATTGAGTCGTAATCTTTACTCTGAAAGTTTTATGTTTTGGCAGGCCATCATGTACACTTTCCAGAGGATATCAGTGCCAACACAGAAATTCAAATACAGATGAAAGGAGACTCAATAGCCAATGTTCACTTGGGCTTCCTCCAACACAGACACAAGTATGAGATACAATTAAACATTCCGATTTTTCCTGCATCTACATCACTGACACCTATAATCAACACACCTTTCATAGCAGTAGGCAATGTTAATAGTCCAGGTAAGTTTACTGTGATTATTTTTGGAACATTTTCTAGTTTATTGCATAGCTTTCCAAATTGCTATTATTGAAACAAAGAAACATGACTGGTCATTTACAATTGAAACCTTTCACCATAAGAATGACCAGCAGCTAATTTCTCATTACAGGGATACTGCTGAATCATTTCTTAAGATTGTGAGAATAAAGGAAATAATCACTAGATCGAGAAGGTTTGATTGCTAAATGAACTCTCCCAGTCAATACCAATGGAAATGTAAGAAGAGTTAGGGAGAACATAATTATGTAGATAGCGATACTAGATGTAAAGGGTTCAAGTTATTTTGTCATTGATAAATCTTCAGGAGATGGGAAAGCTCATGAGGTCACATTGGAGCTTGATGCACACAAAGAAGGTCTTCTTAGAGACAAATTTGTGCTAAAAAATGAAGCTGGAGAAGAATTTGTTATTGTAATTCATGCCCGGGTTCTCGGATCTCATAAAGGGACACCAATGCTGAAGGAAGGTATACGCTGTATATACCATGAAAAAGATGAGGAGGAGGATCACAGTGATTGGCAAGGCTTTGATTGACAAGAACTGCCTACTTAGAAGAACTTCAGTTGGATTTTTGATTTAGTCCTGTGACCGAGAGCATCATTTACACCTTCCTTAACTTTCAAAAACTACTGTATCATTATTTGAGACTCAGCATCAGTTGAAAGATTACAAGAATGTTCTTAGAATGCAGCAACTTCAAATTGCACTGATACCATATGTACTTCAAAGGTACAAAAACTCCAACCTCTTTATAAGCAGTCTATTAAGAGAACTATTAATTATGTACAGTTGGACTCTGCTAACTTGAAATTCCAAGGGAAACTAAAAATTATTCAAATTAGCAAGGGTTTGAGTTATCAAGATTGCTGTTGAATTTCAATTATCCTTTAAATGGTTAAAAAGGAATCACGTTTGTACCATTCATGCACAATCAATGGTCACTTTCATACAATAGGTTTGTTTTACTTAAGGCATTTGATAAGAAAGTTTAGTTGGGGAAGTGTAGCTGAATGTATTACATTTTCATAGAATTATTCTGTTTGTTTCATTCGAAGTAAAAATTCAAGTTATCAGGGTAAATTTGAACCAAAGGAAAGTAATATTAGTTTGACTTAACAAAGTTCGAGTGTAGCTGATTGTAAATATCTTGCAAAATGGGGTCAAATCCAAGGGAAATCAAATCTTGGTCAGTTATGGTGTGGTTCAAGTTTACTGGGCTTGAGTTAGCAGGGTTCTACTATAAGTACTGGTAGCTAATGTTAAAGAAATATTAAAAAAAATTGTAGTTTGTAATTTTAATTTTAAGTTATGTAATATATTTTAAATCAAGAAGTCCTTTTTTGATGATTTTTGACAGTTATAGAGTAGAGAAGCAATTCAGCTTATAAAAGTTTTTTAACTGTAAATAAAACATATTAAATTTATGCATTTCTTGTGTGAAAATTCATCATATGCATACACATGAAAGCATTTTTAGTAGTAGGTATTTTAGTACGTAACTGCCTTTTTGTGCTTAAAGAGGTCTTACTGCAGCTATTTTTGTCATAGATGTGGTTTTAAAACCTCTAGAAGTTAGCTTAAATATCAAACAAAGTGGTCGTACTATGTGACAATAAAAACTCACATCAAACTTTATGTCACTTGCAATATCTTGTTTTTTTTTCTGCTGCCAACCACTCATGTAAGATTACAGTAATTCAAGTGTGTACTTAATGTGTTAAGGGTGACCATAATGTCAAAATATTTTTTACACTCATCTAATTCTACATTTCACCAAATGAACTTCTGCGAAAAAAATTTTCGATTTGGATAAAACGCAATTTTTTTAATAATTTTTTAAAGACATTCAAATTTGCCGCCATTTTGGTCCACCATTCACACCAGTCTTCCTTGGTTTAAAGTGAGTCGTGATGTAGGTTCAGGAACACGTGATTTTGGGTTGTGACTTATCTGACTTGAAAACAAGTGGGAATTTGCTTCAGAGTGGTCACAATATCGTAAGCTCACAATATCGTAAACAACCCGCACTCGACCAGTGTATTTATATGCACTTTAAGGTCAAGTGAGGTTCCTGAACCTACTTCACAGACATCAGTCACGTGGTTATTTTGAGCACATTACTCTTGTGATCAGCGGCAGGGGTCAATCGCACGAAAATAGAATTTTGAGCTTTGTAAAAATTTGTAAAAAAATCACATTTCATCCAAATCGAAAAAATTTTTCACCGAAGTTCATTTGGTGAAATGTAGAATTAGATGAGCGAAAACGTTTTTTGACATTATGAGCACTTTAAGGGTGACCACAATTGCTCAGTAGAGGTGACTGCTTAATAGAAGTGAATATTACAGTGATAAAGGGGAAACAAATTCAAGACTTTGACAACCAATACAGGGTGAGTGCCTAATACAGTGCCACCTAATAACGGTACAACTGTACTTTGGTGTAATGCAAAGTTCGTCTGGTCGAGTTAAAAAAAACAAAACAAAACAAAACAAAATAGACTGTTGCATGTAATGCCAGCTGAGTACACTTTATAGCTCTGTCTTGTTTACTTATTTATTGTAGTCTTCTAACTACTGGATTAATACTAAGTGTGGGTAAAGCCAACATTGTTGTCTTGTCATAGGTTTTAGTTTAACTTGACCCTCTATTTTAACATGTTTGTAGTTTCCTTCCACAAAATATAGTGTGGACCAAAGAAGCATACTGATTTCTGAAACAGTTTATACGTACAAAATTACAGCATAAGTAAGCTGTGGTCATTCCATTTCTGATTTTTAAGACATATTCTTCTTCGACTTGCGTAAGATGCTTGTAGACCTTTTCTGTTTTACTTTTGTTTAAGATGATGCAGCTTGCTGTTTTGGTGGATTAAAAGCAAGATGGAGAATGAAGTCAGATATATATGCTGGCAGCCGTGCTAACCATACAAGAAGAAACTTTGCATCTATTCCAACCAAATATCGGTCAGCTGGTGAACTTGATGTTAGGGCTTCCACTATTGCATCAACAACTTGACTGATGTTTGACGTACGATACACTCCATCTCTCATAATTTCAATACCTGCAAGAAACCCAGGTTTATGTTTAGCTCCAACAATGATCAGCACATTATTTTCAGTCACATATTTTGTCAGTTGAAGATGGATAAAAAAGGTTCAGCTTGCATAATTGCAAGGAAAGACATACATGTACAAGACTGTTATCTAATTTTAATTATTAATAGTTAATACATTTGAAGAAACCAGATCTGTCTTAATTTGAGCTTGCCATTCTTTGAGTTGAGATCAATGCCATATTCACTATACAAAATTTTCTCTGATTTCCTGATAAAAATGTATGGTATAAATGTATGAAATGTAAACATGTTTATACTTCTTTTAAGGTATTCCTCTCCATACTCATCCTTCAGCTCATCACTTAGTTGGTTCCAGCCCTCTCTCAATTGCTGCTCAAACACATCTGGGGCACAAATGTTGGTTGAAAATGATCCTGGTTCTAAAATGCACACTTTGATTCCCCAGGGAAGCATTTCACGCCTCAGAGCATCTGAAAATGCCTCCACACCATATTTGCTCACAGAATATGAGCAGTAAAAACTTGCTGAAAAACGTCCTGTTGGTATGCAAATTAAAAAAAATATGTACGAAGCACAAAACCAAAACAATAAGGAGCATGTTACTGGAAGAAAAGAAGAATGAACAAAGCACAAAACCTAAACAATAAGGAGCAAGTTATTGGAAGTAGCCTTGAAAAGTAGGAAAAAATTTATTATTATTTCTTCTAATCAAAGAAATATTGAACATATCAAGAATAACTTCAGATATCTGTTTTTTCTTTTTAACACGAAACACTTTTGTCCACTACAATCCCAGCTGTACATTAATAGGCACTTAAAAGTCATTGATGATATCTACTCTTACAATCTTATTTCAAATTCTCGAGTAATTTCCCTCATTAACTTTGCATCATACACTCCACTCAAACCAAGACTTTGATTTAGCAATAAATCAACAGACATACCAGATATGTTTGTTCCCTCCACACATGATTAGAGTGATCATGTTATAAACTACTTTGTACAAAATTTGCTTCTGTGACCCCTACTGATCCTTGACCTCAATTCCACATTCCAAAATCCTGAATTTCCACAAATCCAATACATAATTCTGCTTTTAATTAAGAAGTGGATCCTACTGTCTATGTAGAACAAAATAATATCAGGTATTTGCCAGGCTTAAACAAGGGGCTGTCCCTCACCTGCCATGCTTGATAAGTTTACCACTCGTCCAGAAGTCCTCTTTACCAGTGGCAAAAAGGTCTTAGTAACATCAATCATACCCCACAGGTTCACATCTGCTGAACGTCTGAAGACTTCCATGGGTGTCCACTCAACAGGACAGATGGTGCCAATTCCTGCATTGTTCACCAGTCCCCACAATCCAGCTAAGAAAAAAATGGAGATCTTTCTCAAATATGGAGAATTAATCTTCTTTATAGACCCAGCAACCAGACATTGTTTGTTCATGAGTATATCTCTGCAATATAAGATTTAAAAGTATGTTGCTCTAAAAATTGCTCATATCAATAACCAGTTTTATTGAGCATGTGCCCATCTCCTATAGGTAAAGACATTCCATCCTGTATCAACAGGAGACAGATCACCAGAGATGTGTCCTAATTTCTCTGGTCTCCCAGGTGATTTTTAAGGAATGGTTTGTCATTAACATCCAATTGGCTGGGGTTTTGATCTCATTGCTCTCAACTTTGAACCATGTCCCACATGCCAGGCCGAGGTGGTTGTGTTGTACAATGATAATAACCTTTGACACCTTCCTTCCAGAAACTTTTCTTATCGTCAAATGTTTTTCTAAATCGCGCCTTTTTCGATCAAGTAAGGTCTTTCAAAATAAAACACCTGAGAGAGGTTCTTTAAGCGTTCACAAAAATCAATTTCTTAATAATGTAATCATTTTAGGTAAAACTGATTTATGAAAGGTAAATACTTGATTCACCAGTTTGCCTACATAACTGCTACAGTTTTACTTTTAGTTAAATGACTAAAAAGGCCGCGAGTAGCCGTTTCTATCAACGTAGACCAGCCACAAGCGTCACGCAATAGTTGCCAGAGGCGACTCGTCGCTCTAACCGATTCACCTCTAACTAATCGTACTAACGTGAACCAGGGATATACAGTATAACATTACCAGTAGAAATTTCTTTTTTGACTTCGCTGTACACATCTTTTATCCGCTCAGAATTTGTCACATCCATCTGAAAAGTTTTCAATCTGTCACTCGCAACTGATCTCAAACTCTGTTCTCCTTCTTTCGTTAAACAAGTCGCAATCACACACGCTCCCATCTTGTCCAGTCGAATGGCTGTTTCACGACCGAAGCCCTGGTCACAGCCAGTGATCAAAACATACATCCCAGTTAAATCAACTCTGGACTTTGGCCATAAATAAGTGACAAAATAGATAGTTACTATTCCAATAACAACCACGATAACCCATGATGGGAGTAAGGTAACAAGACTTGCGAGGTTCATGTTTCTCGATCTCTGATCAAGTCACGCAGTCAAGTCACGAAAGTCATTGAGAGAGAGAGAGAGAGAGAAAACTGGGTTCTACAAAAGTATGAGTCGATCTTTTATTTATCGTTATTGAATAAATAAAAAAAATGTTTATTAACTTATCAGTTCATTTATTTTGTAGGTTATTCATTCATTCATTAATTCATTCGTTCATTCATTCATCCTTTTGTAGTAAACGTGCTTATGTAATAGCATATACATGTATTTCTGACAGAAGGAAATGTTGATACGAGGGTACGTACTGGGGTGGCTTTGGGATTTTCGGTTTTGCGGTTTTGACTGTTTTTTGGATCGGTTTTTCGGTTTTGATGTTCAGAGCGGTTTGCGGATTTTACATGTTTTTGCATTCGGTTTTCGGTTTTCCCGAAAACTCTGATGCGGTTTTCGATTTTTCCTTTTTGATCCCTTTAAAGCTGAAAATGTAGCGGTTTTTTCAGGTTTACATGCGGTTTTCGATTTTGCTGCCTTTTTTCGTCCGTTTTCCGGTTTTGGAGGTTTTTTTCTCCGGTTTTGCGGTTTCCCAGAGGCCCCAATGCCCCCCTCTGATACGAAAAGTTATCAAAGGATCCAACGGTCAGAGGACTGGTTCTGCGCGAGGGGTAACAGGCTTGTAAAATCTTTTTTACGTGTTACCCTCCAACGCTTCACTAGTTATTGTACAGGTATTTTCTATCTTCTATTTGACTCAGGCTTCGATTGCTGTCTGCCATCTGCTTTATCTGGTGGAAAATTGTACCAATTTTATATCTGCATTGATGGAGACTAGAATTCGAAAGTCTCTGGTTTTCCAAACATTCTGCAGCGGGCTCGAATCTGACCTGTGAGGCACAACAAACGCAAATGAGCTAGTCGAATATCACTTCAGATGATGCTGCTCCAACTTGCAATAAAAATCACCAAGACGCTTTGGTTGTTTTTCTGATCCAGATCCAGTGCTTCTAATTTTCTTCCTGTCACAGGAAAGGGTTTGAGGTTGTAGCCTCGTTCCTATTCCTATCGATTGTTTTTCTTTAATCTTGGTTCCGGTGAAAGTGCCATGATCCTAAAGAGGAAGTCAGTAATACCAGCCGGTAACATTGATAAACACACCAAGGCCTTAGCATCCAAGCCAATAACGTAACGTGTCTGTGGATTGCGTGACGTAAGGGCGTGGACGACACTATTGACTACTTTGTGTATGTGCGGCGAGGCTACAGAGTCAAATAACTTTAAAGATACCAGACCTGCAAAAGAAAAAAAAAAATGAAGCACTCAAACAACTTTTCTAAAAATTCACATTTTCATTCACATCCATTTTGTTTATCTCTCTGTTATCACTTCAATTTAGATATCAGATATTAGGAGAACCAAAACCAAAGAAGCCTAAATTAAAAATTTCTGTCCAACCTACTACAAATAATTTTAAGTATATATACCACAAAACATAAAAACATTTTAGCTTAACAGAGAGTAAGAACAACAGGAAAACAGAGTCAATCTATTACATTTTACTATGTTTATCTCCACCTTATGATGAAAAGCTTTCAGAACTAATTCAAACCTCAATTGAAAATTAATGAAAATTGCAATGATCTTAGTTTTATTCATTTCAGAGTAAAACATCACTTACTGTTCCTTTCTTTAATCTTTCAAGTAATTCTTTCTCTATAGCATTTTCAAGCTGTGCAGCCACCAGAGCTTTACGCTGAAATAAAACAATTTTATAACAAATTTTTGGAGACTGAAAAACAAATCTAAGTTTCCTTGTCATTTTTAATAAGAATCAGTGAGAAACTGGGTGGTAAGGCTGACCAGTTCTGGCATGGCAGAACAATGCTCTAAAATGTAAACTGTTACTCAGTATCATTTCACTGCAGATTTTTTCCAACTTCACCAGTCTTATCACCATCAAAAACCATGTTTCTCATCTGTCTTTTCTCCCTCATCATTAAACCCATGGGAGAGAACTTCATTATAAATATAAAGTAACAGAATGAAGAATGAGTGTTCATTTGTAACTGCAATCAAAATCTCCCAAGGTAGGCATCCAGTAGCATTTTGTCAAAAAAAAAAAAAAACTGCCATACTGCTATGGAAACCTTAACTAGCAGTGCCAAATCACTAATATTCTGGCCCTGTGTACTGCAATATTGCACTCACCTCCCTTGTTTTTTCCCTTCTTTCAACTTTCTTATTGATTGTCACCAGTTTTTTACTGAAAAAAAAAAAAAAGAAAAGAACGATTATGAAAACATAAAGGGTCGTAATCTTTTCTGTGACTATTCTCGATGCAGTGTGCTCTAATAACAACAGAGGCAATGTAACTTTCCTTACCTTGTTTTGAGTCTAAGTTTCCGCATTCTTATCAAATACTAAGAAAAGAATCAAAATATAGAGTTATCTCTATTATTATTCAGTTATAAATTCTACATAACATGGCTTCCTATTCAAATAAGTGAGTACTTCACTTTAAAAAGATCTTAGCTTAGGTTGGAATGGAAAAAACAAATCTAAGAAGTCTGCACCACAAAAAAGAGAAATCATAAAAAATAAGTTAGAATAACTAAATTCAACTGTGTCTATTTTCTCTGCACTAAAATTAAATACCACCATTAATACTACATATCAGCAATTACCTAGTTAGCGACAAGAGAAACCCATTAAATCTGACTCTTGATAATCAAAATCTTTTGTAAATAACATCATTTTGAAAGAAGAATTATTTAAGGTGGTTACAATATTATTATGATAAATAAATGTTCAAGACTTTGTTTCATTTTTATTTACTACTTAGGGATTGATTACCTGTACAATTTTGGTGTATCTCTGCTTGCATTTGTGTATGATAAAGTTTGGCCAGTATATAAGGTTCTTGTCAATTTGCTCTAAAGCTTTTTCATAGTTCTTGGAGAGTTTCACTTTTTCCCACATCTTGGCAGGAGAATGGGCTCTCTCTATTGTCTTCATATAAAGATAACAAACACCTACATGCAATGGAAAAACAAGTTGCAGTTTGTTGAAAATACTTTGATTACAAAAACTGTGTAGAAGGTGTTCAAGAACTTGCAACAAAGACAATTACAAAATTACTTTTGTTGTCGTCGCATAACATATACCACCTGGTGACATTTCTTGTCAAATAACCTTGTCCGCAATTAAAAGTCATTGTATAGTGTTACAGTTCAGTATCAGAGTGTTTTGGAGAGCCATTCTGAAGGATCTCAATATTAGTTTATGTTTAAACACAGTGCTAATGGAATTATTTTCCTGTAGGATATATTTCCTTAATACATACATACATACATACATACATACATATACTTTACTTAATCTCGAATTTGGAGTAACTAAAGAATAAGCTAGTATCTTCGAGTTACAAGTATAATTCTAAATACTACTAAAATGTAAAATGTAAAATGTAAAATGTAAAATGTAAAATTGTAACATTCTAAAATTTAACTATGAGAAAGAGTCATACTGTAGAATCTTGCGCTTGAAATCAGAAAAGTCAGACCTTCTAAAAGAGTCCGCAAGAGAGTTCCATAGTTTTGAAACCATATATGATAATCACCTGCAGTGTTATTTCACTTCACTTACCATCCCTCTCTCTAACTGTAGCATATCTACTGTTTGCCAGTGGACAAGCCTGTTTGCTGCACAGCCCTGTTACATTATTTTCATTTCTACAAAATTTCTGAGTGGTAGTTCTGCAAAAAGAAAAAAAGAACTCACTCACTTGGTATAAATTGTGAAAGAAAATTAGAACAGCACATTCATGTTTCCACATAAAAATTAAATTCTTTAAAATGAGAATCAGGGCTTGACACTAACCGTAGCCAACTAGCCACAGACCAGTAGAAATTCAGTTTTGGCTGCTGGTTTTCAATTTCCACTGGCCAGTTTGGCTAGTAAACAGACTGAAATTGTCATAACATCTAAAAACATCTAAGATGTCACTAGCCACTTGGCTAGTAAGTTGAAAAGTTAGTGTCAAGCCCTGAGAGTAATGACCAGTATGTGTGGTGTCTCGCCAAATCTAATGACTATATACTTCTGTTGACCCTTTACCTCCCAGAAATGATTAACAAGTAACTTCTCCCTATAATATCCACACATTATCCACCAAACAGGTAACAAGAACATTCAAACTTATCAGGTACAAGTTGTTCTCATGATCTACCACCAAATTCTCGTAAGTAATGTAAAAGGAAATGTGTAGCAGCTCTAGGGGAGAATTAACATCAGATCTTGGGGTGAAAAGGAAATCAATAATATGACAAAGGTGGACTTACTTTACTTTAAATGAGCAGAACCCATGATTTATGACTTGCCATATCACCTTAAACCAAAGAAAAAAATGTTTCAGCATGCTAGCCCATCAAATTTATGAACGATGTTTTCAAGAACTAGACCACAACGTCGATCATTGATATAAAATCTTCACAAATCGAATTTTAAAGATATCAGACGGAAACACGTGTGTTTTTACAATAATCCTATAACCGACCTCATCGTGCTGCATATTGTCCTTGTTTTGGCGCCAGTATATCACAGTAGTGTTGAAAAAATCAACTTATGTCTTTAAAATACGTAACAGGTCGTTTTTGGAAGACTATTTCAACATTTCCATCGCAAAATGGAAACTTCTTGTAACTTGCAAGCACCTTCAACAAACTTAGCAGCCAGGCATGGCAAGAGAGCAGATATGAGCAGGGAGGGCTGAGGAAAATATATTTCTGCCTTTCCCTCTTGTTAACAGTTTCTAATACAAATCAGATATAAACCAATCTAAATTAAATAACTTGGGAGACTTTTTTACTTAAATTTAAATGAATACTAATTCCAGTATTTGATGAAAGTGAGCGATATTCGATGATACAATAATCTATCTACTCTACCCCACCCCAGAGAGGTTAGTTGCTAGTCATCCGTCAGTGATCGATCCCATACCGAACTCACCCTGAGCGCTCACCTATATTCATATTGCTAAACATTAATGATTATTCTTACGAATTAACACGAAATGGCAGCAAATCATCATGGTGTGTTACACGAAGAGGACGATAGTGAAGACGGTAAGTTAACAGCATCGTAATTAGCATTCGTAAGTGGCTGTAAAGGACTTCAACATGTTTGCACGTGCTGTCTTAATAAATGTAATTTAAGATAATGATTCAGTTCTTCCCGTTTTAGACCATTAAAATCCTTTTGAGGGTATTCATATTAAACGCATTTAATGTTTGATCAGTCTTAAGGACCAATACAGTTTGCCTGTGGTGACACTTGGCAATTTTCTGGCGTAAGAAAACTTACTCTTCTGCATTGACTCTGAGTTTTAGAGATCAGTGACAATTTATAAATGTATCATTTCATCATTACGTTTTTCAAATGTATCGAAAAACCGCTTCTGCGTCTTAAGAGCTCTCTTGAGACAGCTTGAGACCAATCTTTTTATAAGCAATACATGTCTTGAGTAGTTAAAATGTGACCAAACACGAATCTTGCTCACGTAAACACCACCCACATTGACATAGAATTGTGTTTGATCGCAGATGACATCAAAATGTGGTAAGAACGAAAAAGGAGCACACAAGGTGCTCCTGAGTGTATCAATGATGCCCTTGCCACATTTTGACGCAATAGTATGTGGAATCTATTTGTTTTATACAATAAATGAGAAAAAAATGTCAATCGTGATGCCATACATGCGTCTGTCCTCCAATGGATCATAAGTAAGAACCAAACAAAATAATTATGTATTTAGTTATTACTGATACATGTTAATATTTAAGTCACCTTTCATTAGCAACATATTTTAATCATAGGAAGAGACATCATTTATTAAATACAACAAGCCTGCTGAGGAATGTATAAATTAAACTGATGAAAAAGAAAAAGACTTACTTGTGGTTTCTCCAACAAAATCATTTCCGTAAATTTTTGGAAGATAGATAGATCGACATCGGTGCTAGGTGTTATGATGCACTCTCCAGGTATACATTTCATTAACCTGCTCTTTGATGTAACCAGAGGAAATTTAAATACTGGTAGAAGTTTATTTTAAATCATGATTTCAAATGAAAGTTTCATTTTCAGTGCTTCGGCCTTCAAGACTTATGCAGAATTTTTGTGTCCACAAAGTTCAGATATATTATATAACAAGTTAACAGACTTCGAGCCAACAGAGACGCCATACCAGAAGGATCGAAAAGGATTCATAGTCCAAACTTCAATAAATGATAGAAGAAGTAATGTGGTACATGGGGACGGACAACTTCCAGCAAAGGAAGACATATACTCAATAAAAAATCTAAAAGTTTAATAAAAAATGTTTCAGTCCGAGACCTTCGTTTCAAGACAACTGATGAAGGTCTTGGACCGAAACATTTTTTATTAAAATTTTT